TTTTGCAATTTAATTTTAAAAAATACGATTTCGCATAGTCTAAAAGGTACTTCTAATGATTTAAATAAATTTATCAAAATCAAACTCTGCATAATAATTGTAAGAAACTTGTGATGATTCAAAAAAAAATAGAAAATTTTTTTTTGCAAATATGCATTATCGCACAGCATTTTGGGGCTTAGCAAGCGAATTTTCTTTGTTATTATAAAAAAAACTTGATTATTTTAAATAAAAAGATTTTTTTTACATTTTCTTAAGACCTTGATTTTTCGCAAATGTGCATTATTATAAGTAATTTTGAGGCTTAGCACGCATATTTAAAACGCGTCAATATTTCTTACAATCCTAATTAAGCAATTAATTGAGTTTACAAATTTAACTTTAATTGTATAATTAAAATCCAGAACCGAATTTATTTTAATATAATAAATTTGGTATGAAACATAAATTCATTTGATTATACAGTATCATATTTTAATATATACTGTATATTGCCAGTGATAATTGAAGGATAATGCATTTATAAATAGATAATATAAAGTTCATAATCAAGTTTGCTATAAAAGAACACTCTTTATCCAAAGTTAACTTTTCTGTATTGTTCCATTTAAATATTTATTGTACCATTTTATTAAATAAAATCTAAATAATAAACTGACAAATCGACGCCAAAAATCTTCGCTTTTTACAAAATTCAATTTTATCTAATTGCTTCACTAAAAATGCCTAAACCAAGGAAATCTACAATTCATATACGCAATAGACAAGAAGAATTTACTATTTCAATTGTAGGAAGGATAGAGAAAACTATCATATTAAAAAATAATCTCAAATGATCAAGTAAAAAACAAAAACTGATTATGCTAAAATTATACTGCAATATTCAAATAAACAAATCAACTACTTTACAACGTTTAAACTTAATCATGTAATATATGACAAAGAAAACAAGATTTTAAAAGCTGAAAACAGAAGTAGAGTAACAACTAAATCCTCAGCAAGCAAAATAAATACAAAAACACTAGAGGAAGTTACAAAATACAAAATGGAAAATTCCGTTTTTTTATTTACATAAGAAACAAAATTTTTACTTTTCTGATCATTTGATCAAAGATATTTCAGCAAGAGAAAAGAATTAAAATTTCTTTTAATCTTATAGCTTCACTAAAAATGAAAACCTATTTTTTTATCCGGGTAGCTTATTTTATTAATTTATTTATGTTTACATTTTAATATGGCAGAGGTTTTTTTTTTTTTTGTGAAACCAGCAAACAATCTTTTTTATTTACATTGTTATTTTATTATAGTATTCTTTTAATAAAAGAAATATTTTTGAACTTTTTTTATTAATAATATTGTCACGTCATTATACCACAAAATAAATTAACAATTTCTCAAACTTCAAGATTAATATTGTTTTCCTTGTTAAAAAGTAAGTATTAAATTTTTACGATTGTAAAAAATTTTCTATCTATTATATTTAAGTGGTATTTTCAATATAAAAAAGAATTATTTCAAAATTTCTACTTTTAAAAAATAATGAATAAAAATTTTCTCAAATATAAAATATTTAATATTGACAAAAGATGATTTAATCGATAATAAAATAAGTTGGTTTAAATAATGGTAGTCATTTTCATCTAAATCGTAAATATGCAAAATCAAATACGAATGACATTCCTAAAGAAAGGACTTACTACATAAAGTGTGCTCTTATGGTTTGCATCACCTGAGAAATTTTTTGAATTCATACAACTTCTTAATAGTGAGATATTTTATGAATTGTTTTTTTAATTAAATTCATCTAAACCTATAGTTATAAATACCAAAAATTTACCAGCAAAATTTTGGTGTTTATAACTATAGATTTAGATGAATTTGATTAAAAAAACTATCCATAAAATATCTCGCTATTAAGAAGTTGTATGAATTCAAAAATTTTTGGACGAATGCAAAAAATACGAGCCACTGTATAAGATAAGTACATATTTCTTAAGTAAACAATTAAGCATACTAAGCCAATTATTTAGCCAATTTAATTTTGCAACAAATAAATATTTCAGTATTAATGATAATGTTTTTCTTTTAAAATGAAGATATTTTTTGAGACTCTCAAAACTTATTCTTTAAAAAGAATATGAAAATTATTATCAAGTATTTGTTTGCTTCGTAAAAATCTTTATTCTTTTTAATCACTTTTCCAAAGGTCTCATCACCAATAATTATATTTCTTTGATGAACATAACATATTCCAAGATTGATTGCAGTCGTTCTCATTATTTTCAGGAGAGTATGATCAAGGTCATTTTTATTCAAGAATTCCTTGATAAAATGCTGGATATGAATGAACAGATCAACCAAATTTCTTCGTTGTAAAGAATTTATCTCACTACATAGTGGGTCGTTTAAATATTTTGGAATCTTTAAGTCATCTATTTCCAAGCTTTTATAATTAATTTGGTCTTTTTTCAAATAGTAATTAAATGATTTAATTAATTTTTTTTTATAATCGTCTTCGATGGTGATATCGTTTAAGTAATCTATCGAAAGGTCTGAGCTTTCTATGTATAATGTTTGCTCAGATGAAAATTTTTGATTAATTATATTTTTATTTTTGGTGAAAGATTCTTTGTCAATAAATTGGTGGTATTTATTTATTTCTTTATCATTGTAGTGAAAGGTTCTATTAAATAATATAGAAAACCCAACAACAAGA